ATGGGAACGACTGCTCGACGAATAAATATTTAAATAAAGCGGCCGACTGCTTGGCGCGTCACCGTTGCATTGTGGGAAATGTAGTTTTGGTGCGTGTAAAAGATCTGCGGGCTCTCGGCTTGCTGCGGTCCGCGGGCCGGTTCTAATAATAAATCAATATCATCCCAGGGGCCACTGAAAACATTCTCGCGGGCCGGATTTGGCCCGCGGGCCGGCACTTTGACATATGTGCACTAGACAGAAAGGATATGATTTTTTTTCTCAGATTCTTGTAACTCGACAACCACTCCATCATTCCAATATCCCCCTTCTTTCTGTTAGTTTCATTGAGCTCTTTCTTTGGCGTTCCTTTAACCTGACAAGCCATATGGTCTTTTTCATGGCTTTGTCCATGCTCAAGGGTTAGACGCTGTTCATAAATTGGAATGGAAATAGAAAGTCAGTGTGGAAGCAGATTGGATGAATGTTCTGTCTGTCACATCCATTAAAAGACAATCAGGTTAAGATGCATGGACCAGTGTCTTACTTAAGCCAGACTGCAAAAGAGCGACAACGTGATTTCCTTTGGGAAACGGCAATTGATTGCACTCCTTTAATGATAAAATGTTGTCCAATTCTGATACAACTGTTGTGGTCATGCTAGCATCCGAGCCACTATGCGATTCTCTTTGTGGGCTGCCATTGTTTACAAGATGGCAGCTTCTTGATTTTGACAGATGGAAACTAAAACCAAATTTAAACTAATAGCCACCCGAATTTCTGCAGGGAAAATGGACTGGTCCAGACACTGACAAATCATAGTCATATCAGGGTGAAACTTTGCAAACGGCAGGCTGTCTGGTAAGGTCAAACCTTTTTGTACCCATTACCAGAAATATATGTTGCTTTCTCAGTGCAGATTGTGACATACTAAATAGTTTCAGGTTTCCAAGGCGCAATCCAGTCACACTTAATTCAACTGCTGGCGGGCCCTCCTCCTAATTTCTCTCTCTATTAACCTGATGCTCTTATCTTCCTCTTTATTGTCTCCTCATGAGCTTAATCTCTTACCGTCCCCATCCTACTCCATCAATCACCCACACAACAAGCCTGCGGTGACCGTGTGAGCCCTCCTGAATACTTCCTGCCCATTAGTTTGGCCGGCATGGCAGTGCTGACATGGTAATCGTAAGATATCAGATGGATACATGCTTTATTCATCAATTTGTCGCCTCACAGGATGGTAGATAGACATTCGATAAGATTAACATCTCCTTTTTTTTGTTAGTTTGTGCAGACTTAGTGTAGTTTAACTTGTGACATCAGGTGTGGGAATCACTCGTTCTGATCTCACATGTTGACTGAGTTCCAGCAGATCAATCTTACGGGCAATATATTTTGAATTTTACTTCAAGCAACGCAACTGGATGATCTGAAATCATATGCCATAAAAGTGTAAAAGTAAGCTTTGAAAAGTAAAATGTAAAATCTAAGTTACTACTGTCCGATTTGGCAAGACATTTGCGCATTCAGAAAATGTTGAAGCTTTTGACCTTTAAATGTTCCGAAAATAATAAAACGGATCTTCATCAACACCCATTTTTGATAATGTAATCTCTTTTGTAATGGTACCGTAAAGCAAAAAAAAAAAAAAAAACACACACAGAGGACTAATCCTTTCGATACTCATTGAGCGGGAGTCACTCCAAACATACGGTACTGAAGTTTTGTGAGATTTGTTGAGGTTCCTTTCCGTCATACATGACCGTGATACACACTCTGGATTTTTCAGTGACCTTAGTTTATTTTTCTTGAAAATTCTACAACCTCTGGGTTATTACATTCCAGAGGTTGCATTGTTTTTAAATTGTATTTCATATACACATTTATAAATGATGCATTAAAAAAAAATTATTACAACCAATGTCTTTAAATATGTTCATCCCTACCAGCCCCTGACCACCATGCCAGAGTGCAGCCAGACATCACGACGTCAACGGCCAGACTATCTGGCTGACTTCACCAGTGGCAGCAGCGTTGAAAACTCTTGCTCCTCTTCAAACGAAGAGGAGGAAGAGAGGAGAAAAACAGAAGGCGGAGGTGGAAGTGGAGAAAAGAGGGAGAAGAAAGTCTCTTATGACCTTGGGAGCAAAGAAAAAAACTTGGCTGAGCGCTCAGGTAAAGTTATAGGTTGTTTTTATGGCAAATCGACTATACATGGAACAATTTCATGCATTTCAGGGGTTTCTTTTCATGGTTATGTGCACCCCCGGACACATGATGTGCTCCACATAACGTACATCTAATCTGATCCAATACATATAGACGCGTGTTGTGGTATTAATTTGCAGTGCTGCAGAACTGTCCTCCATACTGTTTGCGTCATCTGGCCTTTTTATTTAGCTGCACGATAGAGGCAAAAATCCAACTGTACTGCTTCAATATTTTTAAGACTTGTTTTAAATTTAAACATCCGACAGTGTCAATAAACCCTGAGCATGATTGTCTTTGAACAAACAGGCATTTTTAATGCAGCTCTTTTACTGGCTCTCATTGGAGTGGAAGGAAAATAGATATAACATTTTTAAAGTTGTAGAAAGACATTTACAGTGTTTGGCTGCTGAAATGTGTCATGTGATCGGTGAGGTTAGATGTTCAGCAAAAAAACCAAAAGCATCAAAAAAATAAAAATACACATACACACACACAAGATACATGTTTAGTGTGGTAAGCGGCTCTCCCTTTTTTCTCCAAAAACATGTACTGTATATTATATATAATATGTTGTGTAATTGTTAGCGTGAATGAATGTTTGTCTATCGTAGACCGACTATTAGTGAATAGGGCGCAAATAGCAAAAATCGTGAAATGCATTGGGAATAAAAGAAAACTACTGGATTCCCAAGAAATTCTTTCTGATAAACATTCAACTTGCGTTTCCTGTGGCAAAATTGAGGGGGAAAAATACCCCTTCGCAAATAGTTAAAAATATCGATATTCGTTTATTTTTATTCATTTATTTATTTTTAAATGGTGAATCCACGAGTGCTGAGTTGGGGTACGCGAGGGTCCACTGTATGTGTCCTGTGATGACAATTTTAAGGTGTACCTCGTTTCTCAGGCAAAGTCAGTCGCAATATACTTAAGATCACTAACCCTGAATTGGCTGTCCAACAGAATTTGATGGATTGAATTGATGTTTAGACTTTTGACTCCCGGTACGCATGTGGGTGAAGGAAGTGGCAGATATTTTGAAAACAAAGAAGTGATTGACAGAAAACTTGAGGGAAAACACTCCCTCATTGAAACCACCTCTACTCTATGCTAAAATGGCCCCCGTTTTACTATGGAACTTACAAACCACAAACCTTCGCAAATATATGCCTGGATATCATACAAACTTTCATTCATTACAAGTAAAGACAGCAACTTTCATCCCTGCCCATGTGTCGACCTTGTTGGAGAGAACAAAGAACCCTCTACCTACCGAGTAGGGTTAAAAAAAGGATCCTTACATAAGCTCACTGTGTTTGTCATGAAATAGCAGACAAAGCCGTGAACCATTTGGACTCTGAATGAGCTTGTGAGTGAGTGTGTGTGTGCGTGTAGAGAGCAAGACAGCAAACTGCCAAGACCCACTCCACACCAAGGCTTCAAAGGGCTGGATGACTAAGCCCCATAATGCTCTCATTTGGCATCCAAAGCAGGGATTCTTCAGCAACCCCACACTCATGAACATGTGATGCGGTAAATCTATAGCAAAGACAAATACTCTAGCTACAAGACCAGCTGGAGGACTTGCAAGGGTGATGGAGACAGTCGACGTATGCTTTGACGTATTGGCTGAGTCCTGACTTGTGAGTGGATGCGAAAGCCAAGGGGATGGATGTGAGCTAAGCAAGAGGAGCCTTTGCGTTGGGGAAACCAGAACGTTGTGACTGACATTGACTTTCATTTTTGCATGGTTACGGTCGACAGTGATCCATCTTGTGCGTATTAAAGAGTTTGATGACCGAGCAGCTTCTTGTCATCCATTTAACCGCCCCGTCCCATCAGATTTAACAGTACATTAAAAGACGTGCGCTGGGACTTGCAGTTGCGCTGGGTGGTGTGACTAAATGACATACTTTATATTAATTATGCGATGATTTTACCGGTCCGGCCAACCTGACTTCAAATTAGGGTGGATGTGACCCCTGATCCCCAATGAGCTTTGCATCCCTGATCCAGAGAAATCCATTCCAGTCACTTTTGTTTCTGCTTTGCTCCTCCACAGGGCGGATGCATTGGAAACCTACGATCAAGCCTATGAAAACAAGTTTAGCCCCTTCCGTTTCCCCGACTCACTCCGGCCCAATCAGACGCTCCATCTCCTGTCCTCGGTCCATCGCTTCCCTCTTGTCGCCCAATGAACTACGAGCTCCGTCCAGTAGGCCCTCCCCTAACGTTCCTGTCATCACGACCCTCATCCGGCCGAGCTCTGCGACACTCCGTTCTCATTCGCTCAGCCGCAGTAGCTCTGCTTACCGTGTGCCTCACAGCAACAGCCTGGGCACGATCCACTCCAACATTGTAAGCGCACAAATATACACGCGCACACGTGCACGCACACGAACACATTAAACACAAACTATTTTCTGTTCTTTACAACTATTTTATCATTTTGTCTCCGTCCAACTGTCCTCCCTGACAACGATTGTCTATTATTTTGCAATCTGCCGTTTAACACCTGCCTCCTCTGTTCTCCTATCTGTTAAACAAGTGTTCTGGTAATGTTTGGGTACATTGAAATGAATGGGACCAATTGTTTTTTTCTCTTTTAACTGAGCGAAAACTTTAGATCTTTGTGTGCATGCATCTTGACATACAGCGTAATATTTACACTTTTGAAAGCTATATAACTCTGTCCTGAAAAAAATGGGGCTAAAAGTTCACATTTTAAGATGAATTTCCCAACTGTGGGACTTATTCTAATCAAATAAACTATAAAAATGCATTATTGCCAATCAGTCAACAGCGGGTGACTTGACTGAATGCAAGAAAGGTTTGTCTACAGTCAAATTCATTACAGAGATAATTATCATATGTAAAATTCTGTGAGGTCATCCCATCCATGTAGGCTGTTAAGTCATATAGCAACACTCACTGTTGGCTATCCTAAAAAATCTATTTTTTTCTTATTGGACTCGTACAGGGTGATCCACTAATTAATCTAAGGACTAAAGAACAGGAGGCGGAGCTTGTTCGTCAGACACTGACTGCACTCACTGCCATGAGGATCCGATTTCCTGGAAAAACGGAGGAGGAGGCCGAGGTAGTGCTTGATGAGGTGAGTGGACTACCTGTACATCCACTTGTGCATCTTCACTAGTACAACTGTAACAATTGCTCATGTCAGAAGGGAAGATGCACAGGATGTACAATTAAGTTGAAGTTGAAGGGAGACATCTTGACTGAAGATCTTTGAATGTCAGGGTGGATCGAAATTTGTTCCGGTTGTTAATAGAAGTTACAGTCACTCACTTCAAAGAGCAATGTTGGAAAAAGTTTGAGATACATTTACAGTTTTAAATATATTATTATATTTGCGGCAGGTATTTTTACTTGACTGTATTAAGGATACAAGATGAAAACAAAAGGAAGAGTGCAGGAATAAGCAAGAGGCACAAATCTGCGATCCGCCTTTTTCTGCCTCCCCTCGGTGGTGAAGTGAGGTCGCTAATGTGGTAGACCCCATCAACAACATATTTGCAGCCCCTCGCTATTTTCTGTGCAGATCCTTTCTATTAGTCAGTGCCCATTCGATTTTTTTGCATCTCAATCACGCCTACATTTTTATTCTTATCACATTTTTCCTCCTTTATTGGAGGTTGTGAGAATTAAAGGTAAAGAAGCATTGAGTCGAGACACAACCGTGCATGAACACACTCTTTTTGTCAGACGTTCAAGGCAGAGTTTCACCTTGAATTTCCATGAGAAGCAACGGCACCTCAGTCCAGTGAATATGCCTGGGAGTCTGATGAAAGCACCCATCTGTCTCATTTTCCGACTCAAACCCTTTTAAAAGCCATGGCCGTCCTCAGAACCAGCTGTCCGCTCAGCACCAAAGTCCCTGTGGTGCTCAAAAGACAGACGGATGCCGAACTCTCTTTAACCCTGATGAGCAAAGCGCCTGCAATTTTTTTTTTTTTAACTGGTCAAATTGTAAAAAGCACTAATAAAAAAATGACCCAATCTTAATTCTAGCTGTCTTGCTCATGAGGGTCAAACTTTCGGGCTAGTAAATCTTGTTGTGATTGATCACACTTTTGCTATTGATGCGTTGTTGTCATAATGTAAATACCAAATGTAATGGAATAGCTTATGGTTTAGTCTCTTTAATTGTAACCAGCATAACTCAAAAGCTGCTGAAATGAGACATTTTTTTATTTTGTCACATAATAAAACAGCTCCCACGTGTCCTAATAAATGGCCTCTGACATTTTTGAGTCAAAATATTCAGAGAATAACAATATAGCACAGTTAACATCATCTTTTAAGAGGACTGGTAAATGGGCTTTCACTGATGTAGTGCTTTTCTACATTCAAGGTACTCAAAGGCCCTCTCCTCATACTCCTACTTATGACACGACATCAAGTAGCAACTAATTGGAGGTTCAGTGTCTTGCCCAAGGACACTCTGACATGGTCACCGAGGCTCAGAATAGAAGCCACACCCTTTATGATGCATTGAAATAAGTTTTTGTTGAATTTATCTTATTTCGTCAAGTGGTTGCACCAAATAAAATCATCTGGATCCGGAAACATTTTTAAATAGGCTATACCTCTATTTAAAAAGTAGGCTATACATCTACTTATAAAATGTATCTGGATCCAGTTGACCTGCGCGCGCGCGTGTGTGTGTGTGTGTGTGTGTGTGTGTGTGTGTGTGTGTGTGTGTGTGTGTGTGTGTGTGTGAACTGAGAGTTGTTAGACAATTTGCACCACACCTGTAATGTTAACAAACCCTAATGAGAGCAGCAGAGAAAGGCAGATGAGCACCCAGGGCTACAAGGCTCAGTCTTCCCCCCTCAGAACAGAACACATCTTCAGTTCACATTAAAACAATTTTTGGCATTTGATGTCTGCCATGGATTCAAGTGAAGCATATTGCACTAATAACGGTGGCATGTTGCACTAATGGCCTGCTTTAAAATGAGATTTTTGTTGCCGTTCCAAACACTGAAAGGTGCACTACATCAAGTTCATTTTGTTGTTTTTTTAATTGAGGGTAATTTGTGTACGTATTATAATAACTGACAAATGAGCATGCAGCTCACCAGACAAGGCTGAAACAGTTCTCATTGAAAGGCAGCACAGCGCAAGCAAACATACTGTGTTAACTTAGTCCTGTTTCTATGAATACTTGGAAAAGAGCATGCATTGTATTTCACTTTCCCATTACTGGATGCACATTTTCATTCAGCAACATGTGCTTCAGTTATTTAACAAGCAGATCTAGAACTGCAGAATTGTAGAGTG